TTAAGTAGTTTTTAGTTAATAACTCGGGCTAATAATTAATAACTATTATTAATTATTAATAATTCAGGAGGTCCCATCACTAGCTGCATTAATTATTTATTCTTATTTTAAAAAACGACTAATCCTTTTTTATTTCTATTAAAATCTATGAAGTCTAATCAGGTTTTAATAAACAGAAAAAAAGAGAAAAAATATATTTGTAACTCGCGTGTCTCTATTGTGTTTGAAAATCAAATATCATATATTATTTTGTCGGTGCCGTTCACTTCACCGACACTGAAAGTTCATTATGAGCTATCGATGAAATGATTGTCGGTGAAATGATACGGACCCTTATTTTGTGCACTTTTTTAGAACTAACGTGACTAAAATTTATCATTACGTATTCATTTTCCATTTATCATTATCACTATCATTTATTTAAAAAGGTATCGGTATAGCGATAGATAATCCATGTCCTATTGAGGAACAATTAACCATTAACGTTAACGTTAACATTAATCTAAATACAGATGACCCTCATTAATATCAACCCATTTGGATTGATTTTAAATCCATGTTGATAATGATATCAATGAGGGATTATATTTAGAGTTGATATGTATAAGGGAACTTTAATATATAAAAATATATAAAAATTTGGTTTGTGGCTTATGTTGATATTAACGAAGTTGATATTAACGAGGGTCCTCTGTATATTCAATAAAATAGATAAATGAGAATAATTAAATGTTAAATGTGGTTCTACCACAAGATCCCGACATCCAAAATCTCGAAAGCCATAATCCAGACGTGAACAATTAATATTTAAAGATTAGTAATTAGGGTAAATGATGATTTCGTGTAACAATACTTTTTCAATAGAAATCACAGACCAATAAAAAGAAATAAAGATTATAAATATGTACTATTATATAAAATTACCAGTATAATTAAACAATTACTGCTGTCGTTAATACACAACTTTTGTTAACTTTTGTGCAAATTTTTATTATATTTTTGAATAATAATCATACAAATCAAATTAAAATTCGGTTATAATGCAAAAATCCATCATTTATCAAATCTGAGTTCAAAAAAAGCAAATCTATAGGTAATTAATAATTTTTAGTATGAACCACGCTTGGTCCATGCTCATTGTAATCGACTTTATTAATAAAACCTTTAGGGTCAGGAAAAGAAAGCTTTAAGGTATCAAAAACGAAACATAAAAATTAGTTAAATATAATTTTTTTTAAAGATAATTTTATAAATACAATTAATTGAAATATTAAACTTACTTTAGCTGTAATGACAGCACCCAAGTATCCAGCCAATTCCGGTCTATCTTTAAGGGTAGAAAAATACTCGGGTAATTTTAAAAATCTTGCTTCTTTGATTTGGTATTCGCCAGAATTGTCCGAAGCATAAAGATATACGGATAACTCTTTTTCAAGACGTTCTTTAAAGCCTAATAGGAAATATTAATAGTATTATTATGAATTATCCAAATCTATTAAAATACATGGTAGGTGTTAAACACATAATTGCCTCAAAAACCGGCCAAGTAATCAGTATTTTGATGTTCTAATTAAAAATACTCGGCACCTCCAGAAAATAAATAACATAAAAACATATATGATGTTGAACACCATAAATTCATTTTATATTTTCTGTAATCGATAATATATCCGATATAATAAATTAAAATGATACATCACCTTTAAGTAAAGATGAACCACCAGTAAAAGCAATATTTTCCCATAATATATTTCGTTTGTCTGGTTCGCAATAAGATATTGCTTGATAAATAGCCTCAGATAAAGAAAGAGCCCCTACTTTATTGATTAAAAGAGGGTTGAAAATAGGTTCGGCAACTTGAAAACGTTCAGGACCAATTGTAAACTGTTATGATCGATTATGAAATAATAAGTATATGATAAGGATTATGAAATAATAAGTATAAGATAAGGATTATGAAATAATAAGTATATGATAAGGATTATGAAATAATAAGTATATGAGAAGTATAATATCAGTAAAGATTGCATCCGTCAAGAAAATTTCTATCAGGGTATTAGTAAATTACCCAGTTATCCAAGTAATTTATTATAGCCATCTAATAAAAATGTCTAGCCGGGTACAATCTCTAAATATCAGTAATTGTAGTAATATCAGACCTTCCTTCCATTATATTCAGCTTCTATTCTATCTGGTCTGTCCTCTATGGAATCACCATCTGAAAGAATCTCACAAATATTATCTGATTCCTTGAGTGTTCTTGCGAATTCAATATCTGGAGTTTCACCATACTCCATTAAAAATTGAGAATCAGATAGCAACAATGAAAGAAAATATTCATCAAAATCTTGACCAGCAATTGGTATCGTCAAAGCTACATGATATTGGATGGAGCAATCAATTATTGGAGTGATTTCTAATTAAAATTTATTAAAATTTATTAGAGTTAATTATGATTTAATAGTTATAAAAAATAGAAGCATTTATCTTATCATAAATAAAATTTTTGGCAATTTATACATACCGGTTTTACCGTATCCAACATCAATTACAAGGCCGCTAAGACAACCGATACCATACAGAGTCATCAAGGCTTGATTGGCAATATAAAGTCCAGGAGCATTAAAAGTTTCGAAAAAAATATGAGCTATTCGTTCAAAATGTTCTTTTGTCCAGCTGTTGGGGACTGTAATAAGCACAGGACATTCGTTACGAGCTCTTTTGATGTTTAATTCTTTCAAGATAACATGACGCCTATCAATAATAAACATGAAATTCTTGGTTAAACAACAAATTAATCAGAAAAGTAAGATTTTGTATATTGATTACCATAAGGCTTCTAAGTATTCCCAATTAACGATCACACCACGTTGTATTGGAAAAGTTGTTACGATGTTACAGCTTTCTTTGAGTTCCCTTAATTGGGATCCACATATATAAGTTTGTTCTTTTGCAGTCGATTTCGAAGTTGTATTATCAGGTGAATTCGGACCAGAATTATCAGAAGTCGAAGAGATCTCTTGTCGACCCAAATTTTCAATATTTTGTTTATCCGAGTCGTTCTCAGTCTGCTTGGCAACTTCTGCAGGAATAACCTAAAAAAGAAAAGACTTTAGTCTTTTGATTCCAATTAATGCACATTTAATGGCATAAATAATTTATTACCACTGACGGGCTCTGGTTGGTATCGCTAACACCAATTCCCGCTTTTATCCTCCACGATCCATTCTCGATAATCACATAATTTTCTTCCTTAAGAGTAAAATGCATTTATGTTATTAGTTGCCGAGTACATCTATGTACCCCCACCAAATTCGGTGGGCGGGTTGGCTTCATAGGAGAACATTCATCTGGTTGGTTAATTGACGTCGATCAAAATGTGATCATCTACCAATCAAATCCGTCGGAAAAATTCAATACATTACACAAAATGGCAGTTAGTATAATTAATAAAAAGCTTAACACAAAATTTCGCAAGGAATTTGTTTTTTTAGGACAAACTAACAGTTCCATATACGAAAATTCTGTGTTAGAAACGATTTTTTAAAAAAAATTTATGATCACTTCGATTTTTCTATTAACATTATCGTTACTTTATTTTCGCGTTTTTCTTTATTATACTATAATAAAAGATGAACTTCGAACTTCTATTAATAATTCTGTAAAAATCAAAAAATTAACAGCTTGTTCGTTTAACAACGACAAAGAATCTATTTCGTAGTTTTTTTTTTAAAAGTATTTAATCTTAACAGAAAATCGAATGTCGAAGTGGAAGAGGTAATAACGATAATAAATTCGGAATTAAATCCGGAAACTTAGACATTCTTTATCAATATTGATACAGATAGGATTTAAAGATGATTGATATAAGCATAACATGCTACCACAAACGCGGAAATCATGTTACGGATAAATAATAAATATGTGGAAGTTAATATTTCGTGATGGACAACGTAGTATAAATAGATAAATAAATATCAATTAGCATAGATAATGATGAAACATACCTTTAAAACGCGATAAAATGGGTATCGTCAAAATATTAGTATAGATCGAAGACTTACTTATTTATAAAATCAAAATGATAATGATTGATTGATTAGATTACTCTAGTTGATGTATTATCAACCTTATTGTTTCGCCTTTTACAGAGAAAAAATGTTCTCGTACTCTGATTATCAATCTCTGACTATCGATATATGTAGTTGTTTTATCCTCATTTTAAAGAATGTAAAATTTGCAAAGTATGGGAGAGATATAAACGAATTTCTCATAACTTTAAACAAAAAAATTTGTGTAAAATAGTGTGGAAACATTTAAAGTCCTTTGTATGAAAAAGGATTTCGTTCTGAATTTCATTTGTATTCAGAAAGTTTTTTATTCTAGCAATTGAGCTTTACCCAATTTGCCCAATTGTGGTATCTTAATTTATATAAGTTCCTGAATCCCAATGGAATGGGCCATAAGAAACCTTTGTAAAAAAAGATTTTTTGCCCGATAATACTGATTACGTCACCAAATTTTTCGGGCCCCTCATGTGTGTAGTTAACTTCGTTTATATCGATATGAACAGATTGTTCTTTGCAATAGCTTTTGTTCATATTCGTTTTGGATTACAAACTACCGTACAGCACTGACTTAAGTACCAGGGTATTTTACAAATAGACCATTTTGATGGGTATTTTACTCGAAGAGTACAGCTTGGGGTACCTTTGTCTAATAAAATATGTATTCATGTATGTACTGGGTACATAATATAAGCGGCTATTTCCAGATATTTTAGAGTGAACCTTTCAATAGCTGGGGAGGGGTATTATACATGGGTGGGATACTTTAGTCAGTGCTGTACGGTATTCGTTTTCATTTCATTTGATATTCAATCCGTCTGTATATCGAGTGGTCTTCTTTTGGTAGTTTTTATTCCATTTCTATCATCCGCCAATAATTCCTCTTGTGTCGTTTTCGAAATATAATTTTCAATGGATGATAGTAACTTATTTTCGCTTGAGTACCACTATTAAAATTATCACCGTAGATAAAGTCATTAGTTTTATTCATATACGTTTTGGATATTTGGATAGAAGCAATGGTCCTTGTATTATTCGCAAGATTCAACTAACAACTAGTTACGATATTACACCTTTTATATAGCCACTATTTGGGTAACCTTCCGAAAAATGTTTATTCACCTTCGAGTACTATATAAAATAAAAATACCTACAGGAATGTTATAATAGATGTTATTACTTAGAGTGGAAAGTAGAAAATGTGCATAAACGTAAAAAAAAAAAGAATAAAAGTGATTTGTATACTGGTTTGATTATTGTTTTGACTATGTTTTGATCCCATTAATTATTAAAATTAGAATTAGGGTTAGTTTAGTGATAGAGTGAGGGTGGTATATAGATAAAATTGCCTTTTCGACTGCCATTTTTCATTTTCATTTTCATGTAAACAAATCGCGAATTCAGTTGGTTGATTTACACAAAAAGTCATGTGGATACATGGCTTTAGACGAAACATTTTACGAAGCAAAAATAACAAAAATGAAAAACACAGAACAGGGACTAGTAAATAATTTCGATAGTGCTCTACTGTACTATAATGATTGCCCTAAAACCAGTTCTAATCTTATTAATTTTAATTACTTTGCTTCAGCGTTAGATTCACTTCCAAACAAGGAAATTTGAAAATTGGGTCGGTAAAATTGGTTGATAAAAATTTCATTAATATATGTCAGGGATGAAGGTATAAACTCTACTAAAATCCACATATACTCTTTTATTATAAACTCTAACCCTAAATTCTAACCTAACTTTAAAAGAAAAAGCTAAAAAAAATAGCTCGAAAATTTTTTAAAATTTTATATTAAAGTAATTCAAATTCTCAGCATCATCTGATTCCAAGCTATATCCCCGACATTAAATTATTTAAATTGTTGCTACAGACTACATGGGTCAGTACACAGCAAAACGAGGTTTAGAGACATTTTGATCAAGGTCGAAATTTTTACCGGATCATATTTCTAAATGTGATTTATTCACTTTAAATTTTTTAGCTCGCATTAGCATAATAAAATTTTGTACAATTTTATACGCAGTATTTGTTTTATCTATATATTATATTTAAAATTTAATTGATTAAATATTGAGATCTACAAATAAAAAATTCGTCCGGAAGCCCTTTTTTCTGTGTACTGACCCACATGCGGACATCAAAGCCATGTATATGGTTTTCGTGAATATGGTGTCTTAAAAATAATATCAAAATTACTCAAAAATTTTCGCTTCAATAAAATCGTATTTAAATATTATATCATATTTCAGACAATTCTTTGTTCACCAACAAGTTGAATTTTTGCGTACAAGACATGAATTTGATAAGGGTAACTTGCAAGATATAATTTCACGATTACTAGTTTGTAATCTAGGTACAATATTTTTCTTTATTTGGCAGAATGGTTAATTTTGATTTTTTTTTATTAAATTTTATTGAAGTGGTATATATGTTGTATGTGGAAAACAGAATGTTGAATTTCTTGAAATTTCATAATAGTTCGATATAACAAGTGTTATGGGTTCTTAATAAAACATAATAATTTTCTATATGGAACTTTTTTCTTTCAAAATTTTTAGTTCGGTATAGAAAGAGTTAACTATAGAATAATAATTTTATTAAGAAATTCCAAATCTACTTAAATTCCGTTCCACTTGCAACATATATACTTTTTATGCACTATATTAGTTTATTTTATATATGTCTTGTCTCAACAGGTATGTACGTACGTATGTGAATGATATTCCAATCGCATCTCGTGTCATTTTATTTGGTATAACCAACCATTTTGCAAATATTCATCATGATAATTTAATGAATCATAAATTGATGAAGTTCATCTTAACTATCATAGTTCTGAAATTTCTGAAATAACAAAGATTGGAATCATTGATGATCCATCAGATATCAGATATGTAAGATTTATCAACCCAGATTTTATAAGCCAAAATTTTAGAGATTTAGGTGATGATGTTCAGAAATTATATCTTTGTTGCATGGGAAATTTAGATAAGGTGCGAAAAGAAGTAAGGATGTATTATTGATAGGCAAAACATCAGTTGCCTTGTGTATAGCTTGTATGGTTGAACACTATAATTGGATGATTATTTTAGTATATAATTTTATATTGCTAAATTGTTTATCTACCAAGCTATTTGTAGTTATAATTTATAGTTTAAAAGATTAATATTGGTTTTTTATAGAGTTCTTACCCAGGTCAGGGTATTGACCCGGGTTATAACCCGGGTCAAACAGAATTCATAAGGTTTAAGTTAATCCTTAAAAGTTGATATAACGACTTTTAATTAGAGTTGTTAATAAGAGAGTAGCCTGTACTTCAAATATTTAAACTGGAATTTTTCAGATTTTGTATTGAAAAATTTTTCGACCTTGTTCGTGATTTAAGTTCGTTCATTTTCTACTTTGGGAAATGCGGACTCTACCACAAAATCCCGACATACAAAATCTCGAAAACCATAATCCTGACGTGACAATTAATATTTAAAGATTAGTAATCACGTTAACAATCATTGTCAGATTGTAAATTTGTAATTGTCACAT